CATTGTAGTTTATAAAAGTGAAAAAAACATTGGTTAGAAATGAGAAAACCTAGAACAGACCAAGAACAGACTCTTGTAAAAAATTAGAGAACATACATTTTTTCACCAAGAACAAACCAATAACATACCAAGAACAGACCAGGAACAGACTCTTGTAAAAAATTAGAGAACATACATTTTTTTCATATTTTTTAGACTTTTTGGGTATTAATAAACATTGTAGTTTATAAAAGTGAAAAAAAAAATTGGTTAGAAATGAGAAAACCAAGAACAAACCAATAACATACCAAGAACAGACCAGGAACAGACTCTTGTAAAAAATTAGAGAACATACATTTTTTCATATTTTTTAGATTTTTTGGGTATTAATAAACATTGTAGTTTATAAAAGTGAAAAAAAAAATTGGTTAGAAATGAGAAAACCAAGAACAAACCAATAACATACCAAGAACAGACCAGGAACAGACTCTTGTAAAAAATTAGAGAACATACATTTTTTTCATATTTTTTAGACTTTTTGGGTATTAATAAACATTGTAGTTTATAAAAGTGAAAAAAAAATTGGTTAGAAATGAGAAAACCAAGAACAAACCAATAACAGATCAAGAAAAGTCTAAAAAATATGAAAAAAATGTATGTTTTCTAATTTTTTACAAGAGTCTGTTCTTGGTATGTTCTTGGTCTGTTCTAGGTTTTCTCATTTCTAACTAATTTTTTTTTCACTTTTATAAACTACAATGTTTATTAATACCCAAAAAGTCTAAAAAATATGAAAAAATGTAGGTTCTCTAATTTTTTACAAGAGTCTGTTCTTGGTCTGTTCCAAGTTTTCTCATTTCTAACCAATTTTTTTTTTCACTTTTATAAACTACAATGTTTATTAATACCCAAAAAGTCTAAAAAATATGAAAAAATGTACGTTCTTTAATTTTTTACAAGAGTCTGTTCTTGGTCTGTTCTTGGTTTTCTCATTTCTAACCAATTTTTTTTTTTTACTTTTATAAACTACAATGTTTATTAATACCCAAAAAGTCTAAAAAATATGAAAAAATGTATGTTTTGTAATTTTTTTACAAGAACTATTCTTGGTTTGTTCTGGTCGGTTCTTGCTAGGTTGGTCAGTTCTGGTCTGTTATGTACATTAGTGTGTTCTGGTTGCCAGTGCCACCCCGCGCGCCCGCGCCCGTGCCCCGGGAGCGCGCGCCC